ATTTTACTCTGTCCACGTGATATAAGCAATCTTTCAATAAAAGAAAACAGTTGATAAGCATTTGGAACAAAATTAGAATTAAGGGTCCCTCATTGGAGAGCACCCATAGGCTAAATACAGCTTTCAAATGATGCAATAAACGCTAGTTGCCACTCTTCTTCTTGATAACAACTATAAGAGTGGGGGGAAATCATTCCATAATAAGTTGTGGTCCAGGCTGTCCCTGGACTGCTAAACAGCCCAAAGGCACGTTCGAGGCTTATTGCCTTGTATGACTGATGCGAGATTAGCCTGATTGCCCACGTTCTGGCATGCTTTGAGCATATCAGAAAGAGAGGGGTTGTTTCCCAGTCCAATTAATTTATGCAAGAGTTCTACTGGAGCCTCTCCACTATCAATTTGACGTTTTAAAATCTCCTGTAGTTTATTAATAAACTCAAGGCTTGGCTGAGAGGCTTTTGGTCTGAGACTTGAAAAATTCTGCAGTGGCTCTGGAACTAGCATTAGAGCCTTTAACATTTCTGGAGCAGAGGTACTCTGCAAGTCTGTCACAATAGGGTATGAAATGGCTTTAATTTCCTCTAAGGAAGAGGTCTGATTCTTTAAATGATCTATCAGAACACTTTTTGAAGTGGGTAGTGAAAGAGTTGGAAGAGAATGCTGCTTATTAGGTAGGTCTGTCAGTGAGAGACTTTCTGCAATGGGAAGAGAATGCTGCTTATCAAGCTGAGCCGTTGCCAACAGGCTCAGTGAGGTGAAGAGAGGGAATGCCTCTGAAATCAAAGTTGGAGCTGAAGTCAGAGTTGAGACTGAAGGCAGAGGGGGATAGATTACAATAGACTGTATTGGTTTAGGTAAAACCAATTGAGCCCCTTGGGAATAAGCAAGGTGGGCCTCTGCATTGCATGTAAGAGAGGCCAGAGGAAAATCAGAAGACACTGGCCTGCCAGTCTTCTGGGGTAATGCTAGTTTAACACCCATCTCACCAATGAGGGGTCGTGAGAATCACGACGAGGAAGTACTTCTTGAGGCCTTTGCCAGGCGTTAGTGAGATTGATCCGTAGATAAGCCCCACGTTGGGCGCCACTTGTGGTGCTGCTCGTTAGGGTGTGGGGTGCAGGCGAAACAAAGACGACAGGAGACAAGCTTGCAGGAACTGTCTGAATGAAGGAAGGAAGGAACGAACCTCCTCCTCTCACGCAGCAGGTTTATTTATACACCTTTCTTCCCCCTTCTCCCCCCCTCTCCCTCCATAAGGGAGTTACAAGCATTAGAGCATCCTTTTGGAATGTGTGTGTGTGTGTGTGTGTGTGTGTTCTCTCAGGCAAGTTCTTATCAGTTGCTCCCCCTCTTCAAGGTTAAACCATCTGCGTAGTGAGCAGTAAACAGATTCCATCTCGGCCTCTCATGACGTATAAGTATTTCAGCTCCCAACCTCCAGCCAGGAGAATAGTGATTTATTCTGCACTGCTGTCCTACACTCCAGGGCAAGTAATGCTCTGTCTTCTTGGTGCTTGGGGGGGGTCAACAGTGGGAGGGCTTCTAATGTCCTGGCCCCACTGCTGGACCTCCTGAGGGCCCCTGGTATTTCTGGCCACTGTGTGACACAGAGTGTTGGACGGGATGGGCCTTTGGCCTGATCCAACATTGGCGTCTCTTATGTTCTTATGAACAAATTAAAGACCACCAGTCCCAATACTGATCTTTGTGAGACCATGTTTCTTACTTCCTTCTGTTGAGAAAACTGCCCATTTATTCTCTTTCTGTCATTTAACTAATTTTTAATCCAAAAGCAGACCTGTCCTCTTTTCCCATGACTGTTAAGCTTACTCATGAATCCTTGGTAAGGTAAAAGCCTTCTGAAAGTCCAAGTATGTGATGTCTGCTGGGTCACTGTTACCTACATGCTTGTTCGCTTTCTCAAAGAACTCCAAAAGGTTGGTGAGGCAGGACTTCCCTTTGCAGAAGCCATGCTGATTTTCCCTCAGCAGGTTTTATTCCTCTATGTGCCTAATAATTTTATCTTTGATTACAGTTTCGTACTGATTTGCCCAGGACAGACACTAGGCTGACTGGCCTTTAATTTTCTGGTTCCTTTCTGGACTCCTTTTTTAAAAGTCAGTGTGACATTTGCTACTGGTACAGTGGCTGAACATAGTGATAGGTTACATATATGGGTTAGTAGATCAGCAGCCTCACATTTGAGTTCCCTAAGACCTCTTGGGTATATACCATCAGGACCTACAGATTTACCAGCAGTGTTCCCTCTAAGCTGAGTTAGTGTGAGCTAGCACAGTTTTTTAGCCTCCGTCTCAGACATTTTTGTCTTAGTTCAGGAAGGATGGCTTCGGAGCAAACTAATTTGGGCAGTAGCCAAATCGCTCGCTCACAACTTTAATGCCGGTAGCTCACAAAGTAGAATTTCTGCTCACAAGGCTCCACAGCTTAGAGGGAGCGTTGCTTACCAGTTCTTAATTTCCCCAGCAGGTCTGGAGCTTCATCTGTTGTCATCTCCATTTGGAGTCAATGCTTGAGACGACCTTCCTGAAAGTGGTGGCTCTCGCACGGGTGTACGCCCACTCTTTTCAGTGCCTACAGATGCAAATCATGCACTGAGCTGCTCTGCCATCTCCCTGTTTCCTCTTTTGTTTCTGCTGCTAGAGCTGCTGAGTGGCAGTTGGACCAGCCAGCGTGGAGTGGCCGGATGCGCATCACCTCCCAAGGGAAGGTCGCCTACATTAAGCTGGAGGACAAGACTTCAGGTACGTCTAGGACTGGGAGTGCTCTGGGCCGCCGTCTGCCTGGAACACCCTCCTGGGCTGGAAGCAGCTGCTTGGTGAAGCAGGCCTTGGAAATCAGGCGGACTAGGAAGGGAGCGTGTTTGAAAAGCACCAATGTTTTTACGCTGTTGTACAGGCAGGGAGGCTGTTGGGGTCTCACTGACCCTCGAGTAAAGAACAGGTTCTTCCTCTTGCTTGCGCATTTTTGAACTCAAAACACCCCAAGGCAAGAACTAAGCTTGATCCTTAACAGCCACACCAGCTGGAGGCTGCTCTTGTGCTGCCCAGAGAGGGAGGGGGCTTTTGAGCCATTTGCGCCCCCCCCCCCGTGCCAGTTGCTGGCATTGGCCAAGGGAAGCAGCAGCGCCCTGTGGGGGGAGGGCCAGCAGGCGCCTCATCTCCCACGCCTTCCTTCCTTCCTTCAGGAGAACTCTTTGCTCAGGCCCCGGTGGACCAGTTTCCCGGCCTTGCTGTGGAGGGTGTGACAGACTCCAGCAGGTACTTCGTCCTCCGGATCGAGGATGGAAATGGTAAGGGTGCCCAGGAGGAGGGGGCCTCGTTTGTGTCCCGGTTTCCTTGGTCTCCGATGCTTCTGGAGTCACAAAACCTCACGGCAACTTACTTGGGACTGGCACACAGTCTACCCTCCACCTAGGGTTGCCAACTATGGAAATTCCTGGCGATTTGGAGGTGGTGCTTGGGGAGGGAGCTCAGCAGGAATGATGTGATGCCAGAGAGTCTGTCCTCCAAAACAGCCTCCTCCTGCAGGCGTAGTCTGGGGATCCATTGTGATTTCAGGAGACCTGTGGGCCCCACTGGGCCCCCACTTCCTTTCACCCCGTGCCGTTTCCTTTGTGGCTTTGGGACACGTGGCTTGTGTTGCCCACCAGGACTCTTGGCTGTGAGGGAGGGGCTTGAGTGTGTACAAGCCCATTTGGCTACCAGTGGTGGAGACCTCTTTCCCCCTGAGGCACATCTGTAGGGTCCAGGTGTGGGGACAGACTGAACTTTGCCCCCAGTCCCCAGAGGGGAGGAGCAGAGCTTTGCCCCAACGAGCTGGCCTGGCTCCTGTCCCCACAGCTAGGTGGCTCCAGTGGCAGAGGTGTGGCCAGCCTTGTTGAAGCAGGAGGCCGGAGGCTATGTTGCTTACTGCATCTGGTTTTCTGTTCCAGGGCGCCGGGCATTCATTGGCCTGGGCTTTGTTGACCGAGGCGATGCCTTTGACTTCAACGTGGCACTCCAGGACCACTTCAAGTGAGCTCTCACGCGGTGCCCCCCCCCCCCCCCCCCCCCGGTCTCCTCGCTTTGTACACAACACCGGCTGGCTCCAAAGGGACGTTGCCCCGGGGAGGGGGCACTTTCGGAGAGGAGCAAGCAGGGGCGAGGCTTGCAATGCCCGCTTTGGAGCGGGCCATTCCCCTCCCCCTCTCTGCCGTGCCTCTAGGAAGCAGCGATGGGCTTGGGGGGCTGCACGGTGGCTCTTGAGCCTCTCATTCCTCCCCAGAAGCTCCTTCTGGGCCCTGAACCCTCACAGGCCCAGACCGTGCTTGATCCCCGTAAGCTGGCCTCGCCCGCTGGGGCCTTCTGCCTTTCCCACCCTGCCGTTTCTTTCGTGCTTGGCAGGTGGGTGAAGCAGCAGAGCGAGCTGGCAAAACAGGCCCAGAATCCAGAGCAGGGCCCAAAACTGGACTTGGGCTTCAAGGAAGGCCAGACCATCAAGCTGTGCATTGCGGTGAGGGCTTTGCGGCCGTCTCGGGAGTGGAAGCGACGCAGGGTGGAGGGAGCAGGGACCCCTTTGCCTGAAGGGAGCGGCAGCGTGTCCTGCCCTCCTCTGCCTGCCCCCCCCCACCAGGGGGGGGGGGGGGGGGAAGAGGCCCCTGAGCAGGTGTGTGTGTGTGTGGGCTGGAATGCTTCTAACTCTCCTTTCAGAATATGAAGAAGAAGGAGGGGGCTCTGGGAAGCAGATCTCGCCCAGCAGGCGCTGTGGGGACCAGCCTGATCCCCCCCCCTCCAGGAGGAAAGGCCTCCTTCATCCCTCTGCCCGAGAAGTAAGCGCCTTCCTGTCTGGCCCCATCTCCAGCAGACGCCCAGGAAGCAGGTCTGGTGGGATTGTGTGGGGCTGTTTCTGCCGGGGGGGGGGGGGGGGGGGTGTGCAAAAACCTTGGG